TCATCTTCTTAAAGTATACCTTTCAGTGGGTTTTGGTATATTCACAAAGCTATGTAATAACCATTGCTACTAATTCTGTGATATATGATTCTATAAAAGGACATTTGATACAATTTTGGTCTTCCTTTCTCCCAGGAAAGTGCCTCATCTATATATTTCTATAGTGTCTCTCAGATAGCTGTGGCAAGGTAGAGTAGTGATAAATCAGAAGGGCCAGGCTGATGTTTCTGTGCATTTTATTGGGTGTTTCTATTGTTCACTTATATTCGGTACTCACATTCCTTGTTTATCCATAAAGCTCATTCTTCAGATAAAGACAAGATTTGGGCAGTGTCAGTCTTGTGTGGTGTTAGATGCTTCACTTAACACGTCTTGTTTATATACATTATAAAGGCGTGCACCTGAGGAGTTCTTTGTTTAATTATTATGGTTTCCTCAATTCTAATCAGAAGTCCAGATTGAATAGCAAGGCATCCTTTCTTACCCATGCACTGAATAGAGGGGCAAAAGATGAATGCACACATTAGAGGTAGGAAAACAGGATAATTTCTCACAGTCACTTAATTATTTTTATGAAGAAATGGAGTGAATCAGAGGGCCCATTAATGTTTTACCATTGGCAGAATAACCCTAAGTAGCTAATGTGTTGCAGTAGGTAATGAAGAGAAGAAAGGAGGAAGAAGAGAGATGGGAATGAGAGGAATAAGAAAAAAGTGAAGAACACAGGACGGGCAGAGAATACCAGCTTCTGCCATTGCGCCACGGTCCACTTGAGATTATAACCCAGACCATTTCCTTTTATGCAGTGTTTTTCTTTTAATAAAAAACAGAGACGGCTCATTGTAAAAGGCTAATGATAATACAAGGGGGATGAATGATGCTTAGCTATTCAAAGAAACGTTCCAGGGACTAGGTTTGGCAAAGGCAATACGCACTATTTCGCAGCACAGGCTTGAGGCTTTTGTAGAAGGTTGCTCAGAGCTCCCAGTTCTTGGATGCAGGCCCCCAAAGCATCCAAACTGTGTGCAGTCATACCAGACTCAGGCTCAGATTTGTAAAACTGGGAGACACTTCCATGCTCTCCAGGAAGTGCCCTGAACAGTGTGAACTTTCCAGAGCTCTGGGACCTTCCCAATCATACTTTGCGGAAGAAGTATTGCTCTGACAAAGGATAATTGTCCCCTCAAATAGGTAAAGATTAAGAAATTCTATGGAGACATTTTGTTCTCTCATAAAAATCATTTATTGGTACACCGAAAATGACGGTTTTTTTCTAGTACAGTAGCTGTTTACATCTATAATTGCAATTCAGTGTAAACTATGTGTTACAAGTCACTAGAAATCTAATTAGCAGGATGAATTTTATAGAGTGAGAGTAACTATGAGTCTACAGCGGCCCAGCCATCGAGTCTCATTGGAGCATAATTCAAATATCAAACTAGTGTTGTCCAGCAACAGAGTGTTTCTGTAGCCACGGGAGACCGAGACGGACATAAACCGGATAGCACCCATTCAATAAATTAGGTTCTAGCTAAAAAAAACCAAACCAAACCAAAACAAAACAAAACAAAACAAAAAAACACAACTGACAGAAATAATTGAAATAAAGGAAGCACAGAAGTAAATAATTAGCTATTTACAGATACCATTTTTTTTTGCCAAAACTGTTAGCTTTCCCATCCTACCTCTTTCCTTGTATTTATTATTCTTATTTTTTATGGTGAATTTCTCAGCTCACTAGAAAATAATTAGATAGCTAATTAGAACTGTCCCCTGCTCAGATCCTACAGTTTCTAAAACTTCATGTGAGACTGAAGAATCTGAAGGTTGTCTAGGTGACAAGCATTACTCAGGAATAATAAGCACTACCCTTCTATCAGTCCTAACAACAACAGAGCGTTTTCATGGTTTTCCAACATTCTTGGAACTGCTCTGGAAAGTCAGGCTGTGGATGACAGCAGAGAGGATGGATTTTCCTTTGTAATAGGCACAGACAGGACACATGGAGCAGCGTGCTTGTCCTGAGGGTGTGAAATGCTGTGGACTGCAACTGCAGGTTCCCATTACTGAGATGAGTCCTCTGCCCTTGGATCGCCATTTTTTCAGCGAACCATGTTTAAGGCTTAGTAGAGCACTGCAGCATTAGTGAGTAAGAAGGCTGATATCGTTTCTACCAAAGAAGGGCTCTGTGGTGAATGACAGCTGGGGATCACAATGAAAAGAATGTAGTTGAGAAGGCAATGAGTTGGTACATTTCTGGTGCCATGGCCAGAATGTGTGGGTCTTAGCATCCTTTTAGGGAACTTCAAAGATGTTGCCAATGAGCCTCTTTGACCCTCATGAATCTTTCCTGGTACTTGTAACTATATGTAATTATTTAATTGCTGCTTTGTTCTCTTACTAGACTGTAAGCTGCAGGAGGGCAGAGACTATGCCCATCTAAGATGTTCACCTGATGTTTCCACAGTGTCTAGAACAGTGTTCTAGTGGCTGGAACAGTGCCCGGTCCATAGTTGCTTTCAATTAAAAATTTGCACTCAGTAAATGCATCAAATATTAAGTCTCCTGGTTTGCCTCTCTGTAGAGACTTTCCAAGTTCACACAATGGGCAGAGATTGTGGCTTGTGTTAAACCTGGGCTGTCCGGAGGGTCCTACCCTGCTGAGAACCTGTGAAGCTGATAATCTGTGCTTCAGTAGATAGCAAAACTCATCAATTCTAGAGTCATTGTGCTCACTTCCCAAAGGTTAGCTCTGCAGGGCTAACCCTGATGAGAGAGATGGGGGCAAAGCATTCTAGAAGAGAAAGTATAAGCTCTCAATTCAGCTCATTTTTCCCTGCCTCCCCATACAACCTGTTTGTTTGGCCGAAAGCTTAAGGAAAACATTATCAGGAGAATTTATTCTTGGCAGTGCCAGTTCAGTAAGTCATCAGTAACATGATCAGAAAAGAAATGAACTCTCCTACAAAAGAATTAGGTGAAATAAAACTATAATCTGGAGGTGGGAAGGAAGCGATGTGGCTGCGTAGGTCCTTGGTTGGTTAGAGTTGCTGGACGCGGATGGGAATACAGGCATGATAGCATGGAGAGGCTGGAGGGAAAGGGGCTGAGCTGTGGGTGTGAAGTCTGTAGAGGACCAGCTGTTCTCTCCTCTCGCTCCTTCTGCCAACTCTGCCTCCCATGGGTCGGTGGGCGGAGCTCCTCCCTGTCACGCTCAGTCCAAAGAAACAGGCAGCTGGAGCCCCCACAGAACATCCTTAGGCTATTGATGCTCTGCTGGAGTAGAAGTCGGGGACCGGGAGCCCGGTGTGAAGCGTGACCTAGAGGACAAGACTGTGAGTTCTGCAGGCACCGTGGGCATGGGTACCCCCGGCCGGCGAGCCGGGGCATGTGGGTACACTCCCGATTCAAAAGAGGGGCCCGCTCCCTTCTCTCGAAGGTCTGTTCTAGCTGACAATGAAGGTATTTTAGCAGAATTCTAGCTGTGGGGAGAGTCTGGCTATCATGGTGGGCTTTCGCATCCTGGTGATGCTTGTCACTAAGGTGCTCCACCACCCACCTCTTCTAAGGGATTCTAGGAGGTTCTGGGCCTTCACCTGGCTGAAGACACAGGCACTGATTTTCAGGAAGCCCCGGCTGGTGGCTGCACTGCAGTGACCACTGCTGCTGGATGGGTGGAGTACAGATTCACAGAGACAGCCTTTCCCCTGTTCGCTTCCCACTAGTTATTCCAAGTGAGGATAGCCCGTGCCTTCTGGGAACGCGTGGGGTGACTGGATGCCAGTTAGGAAGAAATATGATGTTTATATTATTTCAGCAATTTCAGTGCTTCCTCAAACCTCCATGGTTAGCTTCACGGACAAGACTAGAACCATTTCACTCAATAGCATCATTTTTCCCCTTCCCATCTGTCTTCTCCAGCCTGAGTCTTCATCTAAACAAACTTAGAACATCTTGGAAACCCCCAAGAGCATTTAGTATGATGATCTTTGGAAAGGGAATGGCTCAAAATGTGAAAAATTTTGAGTGATGTTTTTGAAAGATTCACTTGGAGGTCTTGTGTGGCTTGCTTTCTCCCAGTGTTGGGGCTGAGCTCTGTAATATTAAGATTGCATCTTCCCAGAAAACCCACCTACTTGCAGGAAAGAGAAGGGCAAGAGTCACTGGTTTGCTATCATTTTTGCCACTTATATTGATAAATACAAACGAATTTCAAAACTGGCTTCCAAGGCTGTGGCTCTGGAAAGGACAAAGATCATCAGCAGGGTTCTGATTCTCAAGTCCTGACTTAGGGTGGCCTTTTGAAGAATGAAGTTTATAGTTGGTACGCAGAGGCCCAGCCAGGAGGGCAGTGAAATCCCAAGTCCTAACAGGCTGCCAGGGCCCAGCTCTCCCTGCTGCAGGGTCGACTTCTCCCTACCCCTGCCCCAGTCCATCCAAGGCCCCTCTTGTGATGGCAGCAGGCCCAACCCACAGGGACCATCCCATTCCAGACTGCAAATTTTCACTCTGGCCAGCCCTCCCCATCACCTGGCCCTACTCTTTGTCACTTCTCCACTGTACCCATCCCTTTCTAACACACCACGTCATCAATGTCTGTGTCCTATAGCTGGAGTGTAAGCTCTGGGAAGGCAAGATTTTTATCTGTCCCCCCCCCCACTGATGTCTATCAATACTTACAACTGTGCCTGGTGTGTTAAAGGCATTCTACAGATATTTGTGGAAGGCATGCTTAAATGCATGAATGAGAAGAGCCTGCTGTTTTATATCTACAATAAATCATCAGTAAGTAACCTGCAGGCAGACATTATGTTTTCTCTTTCCACAACAGCCAGCAGGGCTGAACAGTAGTACAGAGCAGGCACCCACACTTTCTGACAAGGGCACTAATACTTCACTCTTGTATCTCTACTTCTCAGGTACCCAGAAAGCTTGGTGCGAGTCATCTCATTTGTTTTCCTTGCCAGTTGGATCAAGCTTTTCATTTCTACCTAGAGGTGAAACTACAGCAAACAACAAATAGAATCGATTGCAGTCTCCCATTGGCTGTTAACAAGTTTGTGAGCAAGGGTAGGAAAGGGGATGCCGGGGTGCCATCCCTCATCACATCCATCCTTTTCTTTTCCTTCCTCCCTGTTTTACCGGGGGCCTTACACTGTCAGCTTCTCTGGGAATTTGATTTCACAGCCCCAGGGCAGCCCTTGAAGCAGCCCGGTTGAGCTTACCTGCACGTTCCTGTTCAGGCTGACGGCAGGAAAGAACAGGCCCTCCAAGTTCTCAAATGCTATGGGACCTTGCTGTTCATCGTTGATAAAAAATGTCAACGTTTTTCTGTTTAAGTCGAGGAGGACCCCAATTGTGGCCCCTTTTTTGATCCCTCCCTCAGTTCTGTAGGAAAAGAAAAGAAAAGAAAAAGTAAGAGTTTCACTTGCTTGTTAACATCCCCAAAGCTCCTCTCTTTGTATGCTTACATCAGTGTTTTGTATCCTGTTTAAAAATGTTTTAAACACCTCCTTTATGACCCCTCCCCCAGATTTAAAAATTTTTTTTCTCTAAGCACCCCTTTTCACATAAAATTTTAATATCACAGACATACTACATACCTGTTTATGTACTATGTCTACATATATCTGTGCTTCATACATACAAAGAGCAATTCTTTTGCTCCCCATCGAAGTGGCATTTCTGCCTCTGATGAGAATGGGTGGCAGCTCTGCGTGGCTGAGAGTGAAGTGTTTCCCAGAGCCAAGCAGTATGAAACAAAGCACTGCAGACCAGAAAGTGACACGGCCTTTCGGTCGTCTGAGCTCTCACTCTAGCTGCGGTGCGCACTTTGCACAAATGGTGTGAATTAAATCCCACTAAATAACAAGAACTGAGACTTATCATGTAAAGGTAACAGGTCCCGATGTTAAATGTAACGGTATTGTCCGCTTTAAATGTACCAATAAACTTATTGGGGAAAAAGCTAAATGTCACTAAATACAAAATGACTCAATTTGGAAGTCAAATAAAGAAGCACTTAGGTTGAACCTAAAAGCTGTGCATGAAAAATTTAGAATTTTGGCCTTCTGCTTCCCATTAAATCGTAAAACTCATTTCAGAAAGATGGTAATTTTTTGGCACGTCAAATCTGAATTAGGAAGTCAGAGGCTCTCTGTAAAATGGCAACAATAGAAAAGAATCTTCCCTGTAAAGTGAGATAATTATACTACAGGGAATGTAGTGTTTTTAAGAAACTGGTTGCTGATGTCATTCCACAGAAAATTGTGTCTTATCCATCAGTTGATGGCGTCACAAAATGCCATTAAATGGGAATGATCAGATTTATCTTCCCTCAGTTTTTGAGGCCTCACGATACTGGGCTTCATTCTCATCTTGGCAGAGCACAAAAATTTAAAAATATCACCCATTTCCTCTTGCATGCAGAGTACAGCCTGTACACAGTCATGAAAAGACACGTTTACAAATTGCATCCTGTTAGTCACAGGTTTGACAAGGACAGTGCAAGCGACATGCAGTTTGCATGCAAGCAGAGGCGATCGGTTTTAAGAGTGTGTTTCTCTGTAGTGTGAGATGACTGTGTTCTTATTCACTCCTAAAGGTATAACTCTGAGAATGACTGGTTGCCTGTACCTTCTAGCATTTGATATCAAGCTGAAATGTTATGTGTGCTCACTTTAGGGGCAGCTGGAGACAGGCGCCCAATAGAGATGTACAGAAAATACTCCAGGGAGACCCTAGGAAGCCACTGGCCAGAAAAGGTCAGTGACTGGCATGCAAGAAAAGCTCAGCGGGTGGACTCCAGTTCCCCTGTCACTGTCTGAATCACTTGCCCTTGGAGCTGACACACTGCTATTTTGCCCCCAAGAAACATCATGAAAATCTCTCTTAGGGAACTCTGGGAATAAAGTGTACTAGTGTCTAAGAAAGATACTTCTCAGCAGACTGAGTGAAAACTACATTGGAAGATAACTCAAATAAATGAAAAGGAAATCCAAGGAAAAAATTATACTATGTGTTAAATTATAATGGTCTATATTTTGATGATAGAAGAGAACCTTAAAGAGATGATTGTATTCTCTTCATCAGTAAGGGAATTCCTCAGTAAAAACCCATTGAAATTGGCCTCCAGGGCTGGGGATTTAGCTCTGTGGTTCCACCACTCACCTCAAACTGGCCTCCATAAGCCTGAGTTTAATCAGTACCTTCTATTCTGAGCAGTAGTGTGATAATAAGCACACTGAGAACAATGGCTTCTATTTTTCAGGTGTCTCCAATGTGAAGCATTTTTGCAATTACTCCTCATAACCCTTCTGCATGGAATACTAATCCAGAGATTTTACACTCTGAAGTTTCGGAAAAACAAATTACCTTGGCCAAAAGCCTTTTTCTGGTAAGTTGGTCTGGGTTTGAGAAGCCTATAATGGATATGCTTTTGCGGGGAGGGTGTCCTAGTTTCTACTGCTGGGTGAATTACAGCGGTGGATGACCAAGAGAAAGGCTCACATTGATCACGATGTGAAAAATAGCCCTGCTAGCGGGATGGACTCAGCTAAGAGTAATGAATCTACTTCATGGAGACCACCTGGCCACCTTCCTCAACGTTGTCTACGTAACTGGTCTTCAAACGAGGGTTCTTCCTGGTGACCCGAAGCCAACGTGAAGAAGGCTTGGTTGGGGGCTGCAGGGTACCTGTTGGTGTGCGAGTTGTTGTGCATGAACCAGCTCCGGTTATTGTCCACATACATTGCCCAAGCTTTGTCGTCCTTTCCTAACATCACATCCTTCATCACATCCATGCGAGCCACACCAAAGGCAGGGTCGGGGTGGTTGTCATAGCGATCTATTGTGAGCTCCCAGTAGTGGACACCCTTGGAGAAGCCGGTCTTCCCCAGCACCACGCGGTCATCATAGCTACTGCAGGTCACCGTCAGGTTGTCATTGGAGAAGATGATGTCGGAGTGCGCAGAGCCAGGGTCGAAGGCAAACCAGGCCACTGAGGATAGAAGGGATCTGGGTTATTAAGATGGACCTGCCCAGTTTGGCTGTAACATACTCCTGGGTGGCAGAGGACTGCAGTGCTACTGTTTCATGCTGCCGTGCAGGAAGGAGGTGTCTGGGCCAGGGGAGCTTTAAGTGAGCAGAGAGGCCCTCGTCCTGGGAGTCAGCACTCTGCACAGGAAGCAGGTTCAGCAGGTGTTACCTGGCTCGGCCTGAACTCCCAGCCAGGTGATCCGGGAGTGAAGTGGCATGGACTTTGGAAGGCACAGGTCCCCTCACCTGGTGACTGGCAGGACAGTGCATCAGAGACATAAAGGGCGGGGGTGTGAGCTAAGATGCCTGTGTCACCCCTGAGGCGGGGAGCCTAGATCTAGATTCCTGGATGGAGGAGGGATAGAACACACTGAACGAGACCAGGAAATATCCCTTCAGCAGAAGAGCCAGAGCCTACTTGTCTTAGAAATTTCATGAGTGAATGGGCCTTGGATGTAAGATAGGTAGCATCCTTCATAACTGAACAATGTTCAAGGGCTGGGGATTTAGCTCAGTGGTTCTGCCACCTGCCTTGAAGCATAAGGACCCGAGTTCCATCCCTGGTACCAAAAAACAAAAACAAAAGCAAAAAAAAGGTTTGAACATGGTGCATTTCACTGGATCAGTGGGGGGTTTGGATGTTAGGTGCAGAGAGAAGGCCATCTTTGAACACAGTGCTATGCGTCCATTTCTCAGTGCTACCTACAGAAAAGAAATTGCCAATTCATTGAACCTGAGAGCCAGCTCCCATGCACTTCCGTCTTTGCTATTTGTAACAGAATAAGATTATTCCATACCTGCCAACAGCTTTTTAATGTCAACTGTTGTCATCCCAGTGAAAGGCATGGGGGAGAGAAACAGGAAGTAAAATTGACAGTGATAAGAAAACAGGTCTCTCTTGATAGACTAATACCAGAACGGTGCTCCACTGAGAATATTACATACACTACAACCGCTGGTCTCACTTGTATTTAGTACTCATAAAGAGTGCTTTGCATTGAAGCATAAGAAAACTGGGGCGAAAAGTACGCTTTGAAGTATAACATTAAAAAAATACAGACTGCGGTCCCATTATTAAAAAGAACTTGAGAAACTTAGAATGGGATTTGAATGACAGTTAGACAATTTTATTGGCATAATATAAGCCGTTACCATTTACTTTGTGAAGGAAATTTAGCATATCAGCCATGTAAGTAAAAGGCAACAATTACAGTAGATATACTTGCCTAATTGAGAGTAAGGTGCAGACTGTGTCTCAAAATTGCATCCTATAAAGAGATACTACACATCAAAGCTGAGAAACAATGAGCAGGTTGATCAAAAGCATTTGTATACATTTTAAAAGCACCAACTGAACATATCACCGGAGGCCTGATTCATGAAAAAACAAAGCCCTTTTTATGCTCATCGTCTTTGCTGAGTAAGGCTTTCTCTTTATAAATGAAAAGCATGTTTCCCCCTGTAATAAGACCTTTCCAATCAATGCTAAACTCTACAGTTTAAATTTTCCTCATCTTCCAAGTTCAGTCTTGTTAGCTGGGCATGGTGGCACATGCCTGTAATCCCAGCACTCGGGAGGCTGAGGCAGGAGGATCGCTGTGAGTTCAAGACCAGCCTGGACTACATAGTGTTCCAGGTCATGTAGATATACTTGCCTAATTGAGAGTAAGGTGCAGACTGTGTCTCAAAATTGCATCCTATAAAGAGATACTACACATCAAAGCTGAGAAACAATGAGCAGGTTGATCAAAAGCATTTGTATACATTTTAAAAGCACCAACTGAACATATCACCGGAGGCCTGATTCATGAAAAAACAAAGCCCTTTTTATGCTCATCGTCTTTGCTGAGTAAGGCTTTCTCTTTATAAATGAAAAGCATGTTTCCCCCTGTAATAAGACCTTTCCAATCAATGCTAAACTCTACAGTTTAAATTTTCCTCATCTTCCAAGTTCAGTCTTGTTAGCTGGGCATGGTGGCACATGCCTGTAATCCCAGCACTCGGGAGGCTGAGGCAGGAGGATCGCTGTGAGTTCAAGACCAGCCTGGACTACATAGTGAGTTCCAGGTCAATCTCAACTACATAGTGAGACCCTGTCTCAAAAAAAACAACCAACCAACCAAACAAGCAAAACAAGTTCAGTCTTGCCCACTGGTGTTTCCATACTAAGAAGGCTCTTTTAAAATGAGAAAAAACTTGAGCAGCTGAAAACAAGAAATCACTGGCTCTTAGTACAGCTCTGCTCTGTGTCACTATTCTCCATATTTCTAACTCTGCTTGTGACAGAAGGTCTGGTTGTAACTTGAGTTGAATGAGACCTCTGTAACTTAAATGTGTCATGTAATCCACGTGCCAACGCCTCTGACGATAGTGGTGTGAGCTGGATGTTTTGAAAAGTAAAAATTACCTCTTCTTCTTAGATTGTTTTGCTACATCTACATCAATCTTTCTTCTCATCTGACAGTGGGGAGGAGGCTGGTAGGCAAGGGGAGGTGTCAGAGACACAGTGGAATCACTTGTGGGGAGTTTTCCAGCCGTCCCTCTTGCCTAAGATTTGGTTGGAGACCCCTGTTCTAGGAGAGGTGGGAGAAGGTAATCTTCACATGTTCACGGGTGTGTCACCTGCAGTGCCCGCTGGTGTCCGGGACCAGTCTAGAAGATACGGTTTTGATGAGCACCAGGGGATTTGGAATCAGGTACATTTTTTTCAGTTTAGTAAGGCCTTCATACGTTAATCTCTAAAGCAATTGAAGGATAATGTGCTGACTTCGAACATTTTTATAAGAATTAAAAAAGCAACTCAGTACAGAAGAGGACTGAATTTTTAAAGATCACGACCTTAAGGTTGGTTGGCTTATTTTATTCTAAGGTGGATTCACATACAAGGGAGTCATTTCTCCTTGGATGACTTCTATGTTTAGATTCTGCTTATCATCACTTCAATTTCTATCCATGGGTTGGTTGGAGCACACTGAGTATGAAACACCCAGGATTTTGAAACTGAATTTTATGTCCAGGTTGGCAAGAAAATTTGTAGACTCTAAAGAGGGCTTTTAAAATTTTTAAATGAATCATGCCTTTCGCAAATCTTTTTGGAAACAAATGTCCTGAAGTCTTTTTACACTACTTTAAACACACCATTATACATTTAAGAGTCAACAATACAACTGGAACAAATGCTCATAAATATACCCATCAAATATCCCAAATCCACATTGTTTTATTCTTGAGACAATATATACATTACAAAGACTGTAACAATATTTCAGTACATTACACACAAGTGAAGAGAATTCAATAACAAAGCATGTTGGAAAGCCAGTAGTGCACAGAAAAACAGTAAGAAACATAAAAGCACAAAGAAAAATGTCATTTTCAAGAGAGCTTGAAGTCCCTGCATCCTTTTTGCACTATCATGCTGTGGCCGTCTTCATTCTGGGATGTGGGATGAGCCAAAAGAATAAATGAGAACCAAAGGAAACCTTTGGAAAGGTGAAATGTGCAGCATGTATATCCATGATTATAATATAGTCCTGAAGAGATCAAATAGGTCTGCAGTTTAGATATTTTAGGATACTGTTTTGCTAGACAGACAGAGCTCACTGCAAAGTAACCCACGTCTAGCTTCCCTGAAATCAGCCACAAGCCCTATCACAGCCAGATTGGCGGTGGGAAGCTTCCCAGAGGCCATAGGTTTTGATTGCTCAGATCTTTGGACTTTAGGCCTTAGGAGCAAAGGGTTTCTAATTCAGCTAGTAGTGATCCCTGCCCTTTGGAAGAAAACAATCAGCCGTGAGCCCAGAGAGCCCCTACCAGAGAGCCAGGCTTGGGCAGGAAGTGCTTTCACTTTCTGCTCTCTGCTTTGCCTGCTTCCTCGGATGCCCTGTTTTCGTTTGCTCTATTTTATTTTGTCAAGATCTCTTGAGTCTATGTTTAATCAGACCACTCCAGGCTGGATGCACCGATCCAGTCTCCCAGACACAGCTGGTTTCCTGGATTCAGAAGGGTTACAAACCTCCAAACTATGGCAATGGCCACCCCGTAGCCAGTGCCTGTGCGTGCTGTGCCACTGCATATGATAACAGAGCGAGCTTTCCATGGTGGTACCAGCTTGTGCAAAAAGAACCGCTTCACTCGTCACTTTCCAATGCCATTGGACACGGACCACAGCACCATGGCGGGTCCTTACACCACGCAAACAAGAATGCCATCGAGCGCCACCATCCAAATGCTCCTCTCACGGGAAGCGGGCCACAGACACAGAGACTAGCTCATCCCCCTCGCCACGCACATAAAAGGCAAGAACAAAACAGGTGTTTCAGAGATGCCGCCAAGGCACAGAGAGCAAGAGGAAAGGTC